GTAGAAGATAAGATTAGAGAAAGTCGCCTTAGATGGTTTGGTCACATAAAACGGTGGCCTTGCGATGACCCGGTTAGGAGAGTAGAGGTATTAGATTTGACTTATGTTAAAAAAGGTAGGGGTAGACCTAAAAAGACTTGGTTAGAAAATATTAGGAATGACCTTTCTTTATTAGATTTAAATGAGAATTTGACTTTTAATAGGACACAATGGAGAAAAAGGATTCATGTAGCCGACCCCACGTAGTGGGATAAAGGCTTGATGTTGTTGTTGTTGTTGTTGTACTTGAAGGAGAGAAGCATTCTCTAAGCCTTTTGTTGTCCATTGTTATATGGATGAGATTGGAGGCCATTTATAAGTGAAAGGCTGCCTTCTGTCACCCTCATGTGAAATTAAATAACAAATAGGTGTTTGACACATTTATAAAATGAAAGAAATGCACATCCTGCATGTAATGAGAGAATGTTGTTTGGCTTAAAGAAAAACTATTAGATAAGCATGCACTTGCCACAAATCGTTAATGTCTTGTTCTTTTATTAATGTCTCCGATCTCTTGATCACGATCCCCTTTTTAAGGATTTAACTCAGTCTATGTCTAATTGGAGTGAGAAAGCTACATAGCTCCTTTCTCTGGGTTGTATCACTTGGTGATAAATACTGTCTTTTATAAAACACCATGAATTGTTTAGATTCACCTTGTAGAATTTTAAAGTAGGAGGCTATATGTCAGTTGTCTTTAAAAGCATCACACTAATGGCGTATATTGATGCGCCAACTTCAATGACAAAAATAACAGTTAAAGATTAGGCAAGGCCAGTATATGCACCTTACTTATTCTCTTTTTGTAGAGAAGAAATGGGTCCTCATATTTTCTTTCCCATAAAAACTTTAGTTTGACCCAGATAAGAGAATGAAGTGGTGAAGCAATTAAAAAGTAGTTCTTGATAAACATTTTTTTTTAATAGTTCTTGATAAACATCCTCACATGTTTATAACTCCCATAAAGCTGTGAACATCGGTCACATTTCTTGATTATTTTTACTTTTTGGGGGTTGATATTAATATTCTTTCTTGTCGACCTTAAACCCCAAATATAATCAGGCCTTTTTATCAAAATCACACTTCTTGCGATTGAGGTGGAGTTGATACTTTTTTGGGAGCTCAAATACCTTAACGTGTGTTGTGTTCGTTCTATTTCTAGTTGTAGAGTAGAATGTCATCTTGATATAGAATCATGAAGTCCTCCATTAAGGGTCTCGAGATATCTTTCAGGGCATGAAAATTGTCGGAAGCATTAAGGCTGACATTGCCTTCTATTTGTACAGTCTTATCTTGTTTTGAATGTGATAAGTGTTCCAACAAATCATCAATACATGGAAGAGGGCACCAATTCTTCATGGTGATTTTATTTATCCTTGTTAGTTAGCACACATGAGCCAATAATCCTTCTTGGATACCCCGATGATCAAGAATTCCCCTGGAGAGCAACTTTGTTTAAGGACTCCAGGATTGAGTAATTCTGCCGCCTGCATCTTGTTTCCTTATTTTCAATGACCGAGTTGAGATGCATCATAATATTAGATAGTGGAGCATAAGAGAAAAGCTTAATTTTGCGGATCATCATTCTTTTTAGTGGATGATCATTTGACTTTTGGAAGATTGTAGAATACCGCTTGACTTGCTATAATTTCCTATCTTCCCTAAGAGTAAGAAGAGTCTTTTATTCAAAATTTTTTGTTAGATTTTGTTTGGTAGTTTTATTTGGATTAAATAATATTGCCATATTGTTGTTTTTTTGTTTGGTGAACGGAAGGATGAACCATTGGCAAGCTTTGATGGTTGTTTCGACTTCTGCTGACACCTCTATGTCTATGGGTGGGAAATCCTTATTCTTGTTACAGTGTAGTTAACATGGTTTTTGGTGAGTTAATATTGTTGTGCCCTTCGAAAGTTGATGGCATCTTGGACTCGTAAGTATGGGCTGTTGAAGATGATGAATTATCATGTCAAAAGGATCACCTAACACCTCACTTCATCGATGTATTCCCAAGTAATAATGAAGCAAACACAGTATGATCGGTTAAGGTTCATCTCTAAGTCTCACTGGATTCACCCGTGCAAATAAGGGTGAGAGTGAGGAGTCATCTACTAATCGATGAGGTTCTCTCTTTTTTTTTTTTTGAAAATTTAATTGATGAGGTTCTTAGGAAATCTATAGGTGTGTAATCTTGTAAAGATTAATTGTAAACGAGTAAATTACAAAATTATAATTTAAAATTCAAAAATAAAGAGAGGCTAAAGAATATAAAGATTTGAGTAGATGAACACAACAAAAAACTATCCTATAATTATTCCATTAAATTTTTCATATTTTGAGTGGCAATTCATTATTCCTGGTGCAAATTAGGAATTTTCTTATTTCTAGGCTATGGTTGTCTTCATTTTATTATTTTTAGCATTAAGACAAGGATGTGTTTTATCCATTTTGTTATAGTTTTTAATACTATCCATAATTTAAATGGATGTAGGATATTCAGGATAAGGTTTCTTAAATTGGTACATTTAGTTGAATATTATTAGATATGGATTGATGTTTATCTTTTACAGTTATTAAGCTTCAGGTTTGTGTTCATCAAGTTGTTTGGAATTCAAATTAATTCCTTCTCAAAATCTTATCTTCCCTAGCCAATTTTTTTGTATATGCCTTTATTCAAGTCATTCTCTCTTTTTTGTGCTATCCAATACTTGAAAAAACCTTAGTGCATGAATTTTCAAGGAACGGGCCACAAGCTTCTTCCTCTCTCTTCTCTCAGGTAAGCTAGGAAGCATGATACTATACTTTAATTTCTCTAAAATAGGCGTAATCCTTTTTCTTAAATAATTTCTTATTGGTTCCAAAAGGTTTATGCACTTGCAATCGCAATTGAATTTGGTCTACCACAAGTTCTAACATGTGGGAAATTTTTTCTTCTGTAAATTAAGGATTGGGATGGGTATTCTTGATGGTTCAATGGAGCCTAATATCTGACTATGGGAGAGCTTATGGATTTCTCCTTACCTCCAATCATTGCACAAAAACCTTGAATGAAAAATTTGATTAAAAAATTGTAACATGCAAATATTCAAAGAAAAAGAAATCCTATATAAACAAAGCAAAAAAGAAAGATTTAAGAAAGAAAAAAATTTAGGTTTTAGTGGCTGATTGAAAAAAAAGATGAGATGCCGTGGAGGGAGAGTTCTTTGTGAATGAAGTAGACTTGGCAAGGAGGAGGAGACATCAGTGGCTAGGAAGGAGATGGTAGGTGGTTGGCATGGAGAGTGGTGAAGGAAAATCGAGAGGGTAGTCACATTCAAACATTTTGTTAAATTGAGAGCTTGAGGTTTGAGTCATGCAGCGTGAGGGGTATGATTAGATTAAGGAAGGTTTTATTCATTTTATTGATTAATATTTATGTTAAAAAAACCTACTATACATTGTGCACAACTCACAAAACTTGGGTGAGGTACGCCTCAAATGACTGTTATAGCTATGCCACTTTTTTTATCTATGTATTTGATGTGGAAGACGAGAATAAAAAGACAAATTTAATTTGAAGTGCAAAGTGCAACCGTGAGATATACTTAGTGAGTGATTGGCTTGTTTCTGTACCCGGTAGTGTACTCCTACATTGTCTAACTTTGCTTTTGGCGAATGCCATACCACTTTCTCGACTTACATTATTCATATACTCGGGAGGGTACGATTTTCCTTGGCATAGCCTTCTCTTGCAGTGTTCCTATGTGACATTTTTGCCCATATGGAAGTTAAGTATTCCACCAAATCAATGAAATAGGTGAGTTTTAGATTGCGAAATAAAAATCTTTTGGAAAGAATACTCATAAAGTTTAAATGTCTCAATTTGGTCAACCCATGCATCCAATTTCTTGATATCGATAAAACCATTACAACAAGGGATGCTAAATTTGGCTTGTATCTTGAATGGTTTGGGCCATCACTCTTTTAGCGATGATGCAGGACTCTCATCCTTGTTATATTTGTCTTCAATTTGATATTTGGAATAATTCCCGATCTTCTTGCTTTCATTGCAGCGTTGCTTTTTGTTATGAGCAACTATTCAAGTTGATTGATTCAATGTGCCTTGGCATAGCCTACATTTGATTGCCCATATTGAAGATGATTATTCCATCAAATCAATGCATGTGAGGTGTGTTTTACGCTTAGAAATGAATTTTTCTTTGGGGAAGAATGTTCATAAAGATTGAATGTCTCAAGTTGGTCAAACCATGCATGACATCTATAAGAAAATGATAATAAGGGATGCCAATTTTTTCTTGTAAATGGCTTGGACCATCACTCTTCTAGTGAAGGTGCATGACCCTCATACTCATTGTCTTTGTCTTCATTTTGCTCTTTGGAATAATTTCAGATATTCTTGTTTTCATAACAAAATTGCCTTTTGCTCATGGGCAGCTATTCAAGTCGATTGATTCAATGCATATTCTTTGTACGTGAATGTTACTAATGTAAGCTGCTTTTTGATTTTTACAGGTAGGACCAAATCCTTTCATTGCCGCATCTGTGGTCAGTGACAGCAATCATCCTAGTCCAATATCAATATTTGACGCATCATTCTCAAGTGAGAGTTGCTCCGTTGGTAGTTTCAATGGAAGCTTTGACATGAAAGGTATTCTTCAGATGATTCGAAAGAAAAAGTGACCATATATATATATATATATATATATAATCTTATAATATAATCTTCTTAAACAAAAATGTAATATTCAACCTAATCATGACTAACTCTTATTTCCTCCGTACGTTCCAGAGAGCAAAACACGCATAGACTTCAGACATAAATGTAATAAAACCGAATCACTGAGCCTGGACTCTGATCTTCTGGATTCCGCTAACTCAGTGGAGTTTAGCAGGTCTGATAATGAAATGATTTTGAACAGCAGTCGAAGTGACTTCAGCATACATAGTATCCAGTCATATAATGTTGGAATTCTCGGAACTAAAGTCAGCTTTTCTACCGAAGCCATCTCAAAGACCAAATTGCTTCTTGAGAGCATTCTCTTCTTTGATTCAGACAATACATTGCAGTCTTCTGTCAACTTCTTTCTTCTTGACATTTTTGCTTCAATCTCAGATGCTTTCTTTGCAAGGATGAAGTCCAGTTTAAGCTTATCAGAAGCAAATGACTATAATCATCTCAAGGATTTTCTATTCGACTTCTTAATTGAGAGCTTGGTTAAAAGATTTGACCAATTCTGCATGTCCGGATATAAGGTTTGGTTGAAATTGCCTTTTCTATTAAGTAAAGACCAGCTGTTGAGAGAGATTTATGGCGAGATAGGAAGGTTATTGGAATTGGCTGGGAAGGTTTTGGGTGATTTGGCAGAGCAAGAGTTGAGCTCATCAACCATAAGGTGGACAGCATTTGAGGCAGAAGCTTCATGGGCAGCCATGGACATTGAGAGTGTAATACTTCAGGAGCTGGTGGATGAAATGATAATGGATTTGTTTGTGATGTCGAAGCTGATGAATGATTTCAACTATTCTTAACGTGTTAGAATTTAGAGTGGCGGTAGACTGCACAATTTTGTTTAGGTGCTTTTGGAGGTGTGTATTAACTATTAGCTCTTGTGTAGAATTGCTTCAGAGTAGGCTCCTGTTCAGAAATATTTTGACTTCCTGGAATCAGTCTTTTGGGAAGAGGTTCCGTTGCAGGTTTTGTTGCATTGTTTTGAATTCCTACGGAAAGCTATGAAGTAAAATTTTCTTTGCCTGTTATTTTTGTAATATGAATATGTTCTAATGCTGTCATCAATTAGTTTAACAAGGCAAATAGATTCAACAAAAAAAGCAAACATCAAATGAAGAACTAGTAACAGATAAATCATTTCAGAGGCTAACAGTCTAAAAAACTCCTCTGTAGATAACTGACAAACATATAGAAGAAAACTCTTTATCTAAATACAATTCTTAATTAGCATGTCTCTGTAATGCATGATTGATTCCTGTCTCTGAATTCTCATCTCTTCATAAAACTTCTCTATGAACCTCTCTGCTCTTCCATCCACCGATTCATCTTCTTCATCAGACAGCGCTGCTTCATCTAACTGCTCTTCTCTTTCTGGTCTGTCATCACCTGCAGTTGCTTCAAGCATGTCTTCCTCTTCTTTGCCAATTCCATCAGCATTAGCTGATTTACTTCCACACAGGAGAAAGGATAAGATACCTTTCCTCTTCTTAAGGAGAGGATGAAGATGGTGGAAGGGGGGAGTGCTTGAGGGGGAGAACTCGTATTCGCCTACAAAGGTGTAGTTGTAGTGGTGGAGTTTAAATCGCCGATTCTTGAAGAGTTGCTTCTGATTGTTAGGCTTTCTCTTTCTCCTCATGGTAATGATTAAGAGAGAAATAACGCCCCATGCTCTCTTAAGAACAGGGTTTCTTTTCCTGATCATTTCGTTCTCTTGAACACACTTTCTCTCTCTTCGGGGAATTGAGGATAGTGGTTTGCAGGGTAAAAGAGAGAAGAATTTAAAGGAGAAGAAACGAGGGGGCAAGGAGAGGGAGCGGGCATTGAAAGTGAGTGAGAGAGCTGGAAAGTGATTTGTGAGGTCGGCGAAGGTTTGTTTTTTTTGGGTCAGTGGCTGTGTTTTGAAGTTTTAAAAAGAGAAAAACAACGGTAAGTAGCCGTTGTCGTGAAGTGGCTGATGCTCGGAGTGCTGCGGAGGAAGAATCAGTAATGCGACGAGGACGCAATGGCAAAGTTGCAATTACGAGGGAAAATGGATTACTTGGTCATATTTTTTTTTCCTTAAAAAAATATTTTTTATCAGAATGACGATCTCTTTAATATTTTTAAAAAAATATTTTTTTATAGATTTATAAAATATTTTTTCTGAAAATTTTCTGTGTTTTAATTTTCGTCTTACCATTTGGCGACATGATTTTATTTTACCAAGAAAAATTTTCAGTCTTACGCTAAGTTTTTATTTATGTTATTATCCTTTAATGAAAATGAAAGATTATTAATATTTATCTACAATCTAAGAGTAACTTTGCTTCTAAGTAAACCAAGATTTGGTCATTGATGAAACTTCATGAAGAAGTAGAAAGCTTATAATGCTCAAACAGGATAAATTATTTTCATGTATTTTTTTCTTAAATCAATTAGTAAAATTATTTTTTCATGAATTATTTATTTCATACTCTAAATAATCTGTTAAGGTGTTAATTTTATATTTTTGTTATATGATTAAATCATCTTATAATTTTCTTAAAATTTCCATTGTACTAACATTTATGGAGAAGTTAAAGATAAAGATCTAATGTTGTATGGTTGAAAGTTGTTGATTGAACAACACCTTCACTCCTCTCACTTTTAGTGGCAGACACTGAAAATGATTTGCTCACTGAAAATCAAGTTCTTCGCACCAATGCATTTACCCACAAATAACTCATACATTTCTAAGAAATCAGGAAACAACCAAATAGTTAATCATGCATGAATATAGATAATACTGATTTAATTTACATGGTTCAGACCAGTGAGCTAGGACATTTAAATATGCTAAATTAGCCAACTTATGTCTTCCTTGAAGGTCCAATGTCTTCTATCTTACCTTTCCTTTTATCATCACAGGAGAACCGGCAACCATGACGGCGTGGCTTTTGTGGATTCTTCACATCGTCTTCACTTGACTCAAGAAAGAGACCTCTGAGGCATCGCCTTCTGATATTGGGCTCATAAGTTAGCTTCTGTGGTGAGGTAATACTGGAAATAGCCTTTTGAGATTCAGTTTTCGCTGTAAAGCTCACAGGTGTAATTGGTTTGGTGGAGATAGTCATATGAACACCGGGGTTTTTCTCACTATAGTTTGTTTCATCCAGGATTGAACTATTAATGCCTTGCACATTACTGTTAATACTAGCAACGATTGATTGGTTTCCTTTTACATTATGGTAATTTTCTTCCCTCGTTTCATTACTCCTCCCTACCTTTTTCCCCGGCTGAACTTCATAGCCAATGAACATACTTGCCCCCTGGTTTTCACTTGCTAATGTTATAATATTCACACCTTGTTCATTTCCTAACTTATTTTGGTGTCCAATGCTCAACTTTTGAATCATTCTAGAAAGTCCATCTTTCAGCTCTTTCTGCGTTTGTCCTATAGTATGGGAAGAAGAATTTGGCATAGTGGAAATGGTAATCTTCTTTTCTTTCATGGTGGAATTTCCTCTTTTTGTTTCTATCAAGGCACCATTTATTGATTCTTCTGGTTTTTCTTCTTCTATCATTCTACCTTGTGACTTCAAATCAGATACTTTGATTAAGAGCTTGGGCTTGCTTACCTTCTTTGGCTCTTCACTGACTTCCTCAGGTTTTTCAACTCCTTCGGAATGAATTTCTTTTGTTATTTCTTTAGGTTCAGAAATTTTTATCGGACTCTTGTCCTGCTGAAGTTGTTTAGCTTCTAAATCTACTTCAGGTTTTTCTTCTTGGATCTTTTCGAACTGAGATTCAAGATCTTTCTGAGGATCCATATCTATTTCCTGCCTATTAATTTCCTCACTTAACTGATCTATGGTGGGTTCGATTCTACTAGTTTCAGTTTCTGTAAGTTGTTTTGACTCAAATTCTGTTTTGGTTCTCTCTTCATGTGGCAACGATGCTAATGTGAACTGAGTCTCAGGCTTACCCAATTCATTAGCAAGTTCATCTGAATCATCTTTAGCGCTTGGTAGTTCAGCTTGTGGAAGCAATTCTCTTCTTTCCGAGCTTGTGGAGGAGGGAACCTTTGCTAACCCGCTTGATGGAGATGGCAATGTTGATTGCAATTGGGTTTGATCTTCATCGATTTGGGGTGAGGATAGAGAAGAAGTTGGTGGCAATTGGGGAGTAATTGAAGGAGGTTTTGGTTGCTTTGAAGCTTGAGATGGGCTTCTCCAAGCTGGAAACCACAACCGGAACAACTGTTTCTTTCGACCGGGTCGGTCCGACATTATTATGTATAGTGAGTTTTACAATGTTAAAATTGGGTGTATACAAATATATATAGTTTAATTTGATGAGGAGAACCATTTGGAGAGAATTGCATCTGATTCTTTGTTAGATAGTTGTTGAGATTGGTATGTCTCAGTCAATGGAGAAGGATAACCTTGTATTCAGGAAATTTGATTCTTTTCATATGTTTGCATATTTAGGTATCTAATGTTCACCCCACCAATAGATAAACCGATAAATTTAAATTTAATATTATAGATCTTGTATTATTTTATAAAAATAATGATCAATTAGATTTTGAGTTTCTTTCATGACTTAGTTGGACATTCATGAAAAAAAAAATGTAATTATGTACAATTATGCTGCCAAAATTCTAATTTTTGCTTGCTTTTCATTATTAAAACTTATTTGTTTTTCTAAATACGAAAGCATGTGTTCAAAAAAGTTTTTCTTTTTCAATTCCAGACAAATTGCTTAAAATAGAAAATGTTTTATCACTATACTCTATTAAAGTAAATTTGAACAAGCAGGACGTTTTAGAAGTAAAAATTAGGTTGGAGAAATTATATTATATATATATATATAGTTTTACAATCATTTGGTCATTTATTAAGTTGAATAAATATCCTTATTTCATAGTGATAAGTTTATATGCTTGATTTTCTGCTGATATATGTGATTATTGACCCACATACTAAAATTTGCGAAAAAAGGGAAATTGGGTGAATCAAGTAACGGTCTGTGGGTGCGCGACACGTTACTTGAAGGGTTAAATAACCTCTGATCACCAAACGAATTGTCCGTTGTAATTAGAGCGTCAAATTCGCTTATAAAGGAACCCCTCGCTATCAAATTGGACATATACAATAAAAAATCGATGACCGACGCTCAAAATTGACTTGCGACGCTGCCCAAACCACTTCTGATAGTGAAAAAAATACCTAAAGTCGTCTATAATTTTGTTAAAAAAAATTCGCGGGTAAAAATTAGCATGAATCTCAAGTTTTCGACCTACGAATCAAGGCTAAATGAGATATTCTCTCAATTTTTTTCTGCTACTCTGAAACAAAAAAAAATTATTATAAATAATAATAATAATTAAATTAAAATGAAAATAATAAAATTTTCATACCTCGTATTCCGTCGAACAGACCCAAAAGTCCCGCAAAAGCTCCCGAAAATTCCACTGAATACTATGCCCTCTCGTAAATCACTTACCTCGATCACCCTTATGCGCTTCACATTAAAATGAGAATGAACGGAGGCTTCGTTCATTTGCTTTTTCCATAGCTCTCCTATTCGTGTTGGATATTATCAAACCAAACGACGCGTTGCTTGCTTTAGTTTTTCTTTTGATTTTATTTTATTTGTTTTTCAGATGGTTTTAAAAACATCTTTAGTACTTGTGATTTTAAATCCCGTGAAAGGGTGTGAAGGGCTGTTCTATTTTTTTTCGGTGAAAGACAGTTTAGTGTGTGCTCTCTATTTTTTTGTTCTCTTGCCTGTGAAAGTATAATGAAAAGCAGAAGTTTTTTATTTGATTTGTTTTCTGTGTTCGATTTTTACTTCCAACATTGGTACCAGAGCCCGGTTGGAGAATGGCAGCGAGTTCAAGCAACAATAATTTGCAACCTCTGTTGCCCAAGCTCATGGGGAAGAACTACAATCAAATGAGTATTCAAATGCGGGTGTTGTATCAATCTCAAGAGTTGTGGGAGATTGTAGGGAGTGGTTTTCAAGAGCCCGAAGTTGAGAGAGATTTGAATCAAAGACTTCTTCAAGAGTTGAAAGAAAATCGAAAGAAGGATCGGAAGGCCCTTTTCTTCATTTATCAAGCAGTAGATGAAATTATTTTGAGCGGATCTCTACGGCGAAGACCGCAATGGAGGCTTGGAATACACTACATGCTTCTTACATAGGAGATGAGAAAGTAAAAATGGTACGTTTACAAACCATACGAAGCCAATTTGATATGTTGAAGATGGAGTTGGAAAGTGTAAAAGAATATTTCAATCGGGTAATTACCATTGTTAATCAATTGAAGTTGAATAGAGAACTTGTAGAAGATAAAAGGGTTATTGAGAAGATTTTACGAAGCTTGACCAAAAAATTTGAAGCCACTGTAGTAACCATAGTAGAAGCAAAGAACATAGAGAAAATGTCTATTGAAGGGTTGCTTGGATCTCTTCAATCACATGAATTAAGAATGATGCAATATGATTCGACACCACTTGAGGAAGCCTTCCAAACTCAAGTGGCATTGCGTGGGAATTTTAGAGGTGGCCGTGGAAGAGGTTTTGGTAGAGGAAAAGGCTCTTTTGGTAGAGGAAGAGGATCTTATGGTACTCGAGGAAGAGGCCGTGCTAGTAAAGGAGAATCTACATAAAGTGATGGAGGTGAAGTTCAAGGTGGAACTCATGGTGATGGAGAAGGTGCACATGGTCATGGACATGGTTTCAGAGGTAGAGGAAGAAGCAACCTTGCCTATATCAAATGCCACTATTACAAAAGGTACAGACACATTTATTATTTTTGTTGGAAGAGGCAGGAAAATGAAGAGGCAAATGCAGATATGGTGCAAGAAAAGGAAGTGGAGAAAAGTGAAGACAGAATGTTTCTTACACATAGTAAGGAGTTTGGTGATTCAGGAGATGTATGGTTTATTGATAGTGGTTGTAGTAATCAAATGATTGACAATAGAAGATTTTTTGTTACTTTGAAAAACTCAATCCAAAGTAAAGTACGTACGGGAGATGACAACAAATTATTTGTGGAAGGAAAATGTGACATTTTGGTTCAAACAAGGAAGGGAGAAAAGAAGATATCATATGTCTTATATGTTCCAAATCTTAAGCATAATTTGCTTAGTGTTGGGAAACTAAATCAAAAGGGATATGTGTTGACATTTTCGTTTGACACTTGTACCATTAAATATAAGCATGGATTTTTTATTGCCAAGGTGAAGGTGACTCCAAATAAAATGTATCCCATGAAGATGATTTGCAGTTTAATTGGTTGTTTAAAAACTTCCATAGAAAATCATTCAAGATTATAACATTATAGATTTGAGAGTTCCAAGACACTTTTTTATATGAGCCAGAAGAATATAGCTAATGGGCTTCCACATATTGAAGTTCAAGACAAGATCTATGAAGCATGTATTGCAGGAAAGCAGAGCAGAGCACCATTTTCAGTTGGAAAATCATGGAGAGCGTTGAAGCCATTGGAGCTTATTCATTAAGATTTATGTGGACCGATGCACACTACTTCTATTGGAGGTAATTGTTATTTTCTCACATTTATTGATGATTATAGAAGAAAAGTCTAGGTATATTTTCTGAAAGAGAAGTCACAAGTATTTGAATACTTAAAAATATTCAAAGCACTTGTGGAGAAGGAGAGTGGCCATTTTATTAAGATGTTGTGGAGTGATAGAGGTGGAGAATATGTTAGCCAAGAGATGCAAATTTATTTGAAGGAGAATGATATACGCCACTAGTTAACAACACGATACACACCATAACAAAATGGGGTTGCTGAGAGGTAGAATAGAACCATTATGGGATTGGCTAGGAGTATGTTGAAGGAGAGGCAAGTGCCCAATTTGCTTTGGGCTTAAGCTGTGTCTTGTGCTGTATACTTGTTGAATAGGGTGACATAAAAAGCACTCCATCTCAAACCCCTTTTGAAATTTAGAGTGGTCATAAGCCTACAGTTGATCACTTGAGAGTTTTTAGGAGTATTTTTTTATGTTCATGTACCTGATCAAAACAGAAGAAAGTTGGATGAAAAATCTTAGAAGTGTGTGTTTGTAGGATACAATGAAAGGTTCAAAACCCATAAACTGTATAATCCTACAACAAAGAAAGTGGCAGTGAGTAGGGATGTGAGATTTGAAGAGAGCTTAGCTTGGGATTAGCTTGAATAAGGGAATAAGGAGAATGTCATAGTTGTTGAAAATTCAGATGTAGAGCAATAAACACCACCACACACTACAGTGAGATTGGGAGAATCATCTAGTAATGATATGGAAAAGGTGAAGATAAGAAGCTTGCATGAGATATATGACACCACAAATTACAATGAGGAGTTATCTCAATTTGCTTTATATATAGATGAAGAACCCTTAACTTTTAGTGAGGCAGTTACATAGATGGATGCCATGAAAAAAAAAGATTGATGCTATTGAGAGAAATGACACATGGAGTTTGGCCTCACTTCCTAAAGGTCAAAAATCCATTGGTGCCAAGTGGGTGTACAAAGTGAAGAAGAATGTTGATGGAGATGTAAATAAATTTAAGACTAGACTTGTAGTCAAAGGGTACAAGCAGAAGCAAGGGATAGATTATGAAGATATTTTTGCACTAGTTGCCAGATTTGATACAATCAGATTAATTTTCTCAATTATAGCTATGAATAGATGGCAGATTCATCAATTAGATGTGAAGTCGGTTTTCATGAATGGTGTTTTGGAGGAAGAAGTATATATAGATCAGCCTGAAGGTTTTATTGTAAAGGGAAAAGAGCATATGGTGTGTCATTTGAAAAGGGCTTTCTATGGCTTGAAGCAAGCCCCGAGGGCTTGGAATTTATGCATTGATAAGTTTTGGAGAAGAATGGTTCACTAAGTGCCCTTATGACCATGGTGTGTATATGAAGATATACTCAAATGGCAACAGGTTGATTATATGCTTATATGTGGATGATTTGCTTATAACAGGTGATGATAAGCAAATGATTGCAAATTTTAAATCAACAATATTCAAAAGATTTGATATGATAGATGTTGGTCTCATGTCATTATTTTTGGGCATATAAGTGCATCAGAAGATGATGGAATTTGGATATGTCAAAAGAGGTATGCAAAAGAGTTGCTTGAGAAGTTCAAGATAAATCATTGCAATAGTGTCTCAACACCAATGCAAACTGGAGTTCATTTCACCAAAGAAGGATAAGGAAAATTGGTTGATTCAACATTGTACAAAAGTTTAATTGGGAG